TATAAACATGTGTTATATGAAAGCCCTTTTCTCTTTTCATTCAAAAGGTATGACCAAGGTTACAGTTTTTGTGACGGACGGACAAACTGAAAAATTGACAGATGGAGAGACTGACAGATGGACAGACGAATGACATTCAAAGTCCCCTCGCTTTCACGAAGGCAGGGGACAACAATATGTGTTTGTGAAACATTGATGCCCCGTATGGTAGCTAATGGCGAGATTTCTCAGATGCAAGTCGAACTGCGAAGGTCAAGGTCAAAAGATCAAAATTGTTGGTATTCAAAGGAAGGTCTTGTCACATAGATATGTGTTTGTGAAACATTGATGCCCCGTATGGTAGCTAATGGCGAGATTTCTCAGATGCAAGTCGAACTGCGAAGGTCAAGGTCAAAAGATCAAAATTGTTGGTATTCAAAGGAAGGTCTTGTCACATAGAATGCTCCTATGAAATATGAAGGCCCTAGTGTTGCTGTTCAAAAGTTATAACCAAGGTTGAATTTTTTTTTAAGTTGATCAAATTCTAAGTTAAAAAATATTTATACACATTTAAAGGTCTTGTCACAATGATTATCGACAGATGTGAAGTATGAAAGTTCTAGCAGTAAATGTTCAAAATCAAAGTGTGGTTATTATACACTTATCCACTGGGTGTGAGTGGGATAGCTCTTTTATCAAACCCGCGACAGAGAACTATTCCCCGAGGGCTTGCCCGAGGGGAATAGTTTCTGTCAAGGGTTTGATAAAAGAGCTATCCCACTCACACCCAGTGGATAAGCGTTTTATTATACTGATGTATAATATAATTTCTGAGGTTTGAATTTTTTAGTAGTAAGATAATACTGCAAGAATAATCTGAAAACCTGATGACGTCACAATGCTGTTGTCATTATGACATCGTCAGTCAATAGATTTATCGCTGGAAATCAAAATTGGAGGCAAAAATTGCATGAAAATTTTCCGAGGGTGGATAGCAAAAACTATACCCCAGGGTATAGCTTTGCTATGCGTGAACTATTAAAGATAGCTATTTTACCTTCTAAACTTTATATAGGAAACATTTTAACAGAAGTATAATAATTGTTGTTACAGTGGGTCAAACTCCAAGGTCAAGAGGTCAAATTTGGTGGTACCCAAAGAAAGGCCTTTTCATGAGAAATACACATCTGAAACATGAATGCCATATAGCCTCATCCATTTAAAATGTATGGACAAGGTTAAAGGTTTTGAGGACGGGCGCGCAGGACAAAAATATACTGTTTTTATGAAAAATTCGGTGCATTAAAGCTTCATTAAATACTGTACCTCAATTTAAATGAAGATAATGGGGCTTCATTAAATTGTCATTTTGTAAGGCGGTCTACCTTATTTTTTTCTTGCTTCATAGAGAGAGAAGCGACAGAGTCTTTTGTGACCGTTTTTCAATTCACATTATGGGCGAGGTAATTCGGAAAAGATACCGTTTTCGTAAAGAAAATATCGGACGGCTTGTCTAGTGACTTGAACCTTCAATAAGATATTCGATACCACAAATATAGAATCCATTTTGTCAACAAAACTATAGGTTAATTTGTCAACAAAACTATAGGTTAAAGCATAAGGATACTTCTTTTCACGTAAAAAAAAAAATCAAATCACAATAAAAATTCCCCACTGTTCCCTGTAATTCAGTGAATACACAACCAAGGCATTTTTAACTAATTGTGACGTCAAACTCCAATGCCAAAGATTTGGTTTCTAAAGGAGGGTTTTCTCACAGGGATTACATAATCCTGCGCCGTGTTCATGTTCTTCTTCACCCTATAACTAAAGTCCTGCTGGACACGTTCTTACAAGTGACGTAAATATAGTTAATAATGAAGACCTTAGATCACCAATTTTAAAAGGTCCTAAATATAGGAAACCCCGATCCTTCAACTGGCGTCGGAATATCATAAATATTATGGCTTCTATAGAAGATTACGCCAAGCGATGGACCATATATGAAAAAGAAGACATTGACACTTTGTTTGAATGGATTAAATGTATCACATGTATGTTACAATCGCGAGCAATATGAAAACCATTTATCCTTCTGTATTTAATAATCCAGAAGAAAAAAAAGAATCATAGATTACATGATTCGTACGTACTGGTCCCAGCTGACAAAGCAGGTAACAGCATTGTCTTCGTTTGTAAGGCTCATTATATACATTGTGTTTTAGAAAAACTTTGATTTAATTCTATAAGTGGAAACCCAAGTATTACCCATAGTTCACTTTCTAAGGAAGAAATTCTTCTAATTCATGTCAGTTTTCAATATATTTAATGTTCCAAACCAAAGAAATAAGTTGGAATTACCATATCTATATTGGATTCCGAAACTTCATAAAAATCCTTACAACCAAGCCTCTTTCCTAACTCCTCACTAAATACTGTGCAACAATAATTATATGCGAGAAATGGTTAAAATCAGATGTGAATACTTAAAATATTCCAAGGAACTTTTGAATCATTTGAAAACAAAAGTGTTTTCCAAAATCAACAGCTTAAAAACTTTTTCAACTTTTTAAAAACGACTTTTCAACTTACTTTATACACAACCATTCCCCAAGATAAATTAAAGTCAAGGCTTTTTGATATCATTGACAGCTGCTTTTCCGATAAAAATTGTACTCGTAAGTTTACTTACCTTGTCATTGGCTGTTTGCAAAATTACTTTGTTAAAACACACTTCAATTGTACACACAAGTACTGAAGTTGACATATATCAAAAAAGTGCTTGAGTTTCTGTCATATCTATGTTGTTTTTAGAGACCAGGTCTTCCAACAATCTATTAGAATTTCAATGGGTTCAATTGCGCCGTTATTAGCAGACCTATTTTGTATTCATATGAAACGACTATGTGCAAAATTGTATGCGTGATAAGAAGAAAGCACTTGCTATGGCCTTCAACTCGATATTTAGATATATTGACGACGTGCTGTCAATTAACAATGGTAATTTCCATTCTTATATCTATACGATATATCCTGGTGAGCTTGACATAAACGATACCACAGAGTCTGGCACATTTGTTTCATATTTGGATATTTTACTTGAAAAAAAGACGATAATGGTAATGTAATAACCAAGCTCAATGATAAACGTGATGACTTTAACTTTTCTATAATCAACTTCCCTTACTTATGCATGCAGCAATATACCTTCATCACCTGTACACTGAGTTTATGTATCTCAGATGATTCGATACTCAAGAGCATGCTCTACGTATGAACACAATTATTGACATACAAGTTGATGAAAGAAGAATATGAGCAGTGTTGTTTAAAGTCCTCATTTCGTAAGTTCTTTGGTTGATACAATGACCTTGTCAGCAAATACAATTTATTGTTGAGTCAAATGCCGACTGACGTTTTTCAGACTAATTGTTATTCCATTATTTATACACTGAATTGATGATGGATTTTTCCGTTATTTCCCGATCATTACTAGGAGCACACGGCGGGTGTGACCGGTTGGATGCTCACTCCTCCATAGCACCTGATCCCACCTCAGATGTTTTAGAAGTCTGTCATTGCTCTGCTCCTGATCTGTATCGTTTTATGGACTTTTGATTTTGAATACTGTTTGTTATCTCTATGTGTTTCATTTATTTATAAAAGCGAGCGAAGGGAGGCGGCGCGAAACGCCTCTCGCGTAACGAGCTCCATAGACAACTTGTACGAACGGAAGAAATTCGGGTTGAAATCTGCACATTGTTCCAAGAAATTTTTATCAGTTCACGCAAAAATATTCCAAATCGCAATAATCCTTTGCGGTGCATAACAACATGGTTTAAACATAGCAACAACTTACATGAAAAAATGTTTTAAAAAATTTAATGAAATTTCCATGAAATAAAACTTTCGTTTCGTCCTAAGTAACCAGGACTTTTTATTTGACGTCATACTTTCGCCACTAAACGGCTCTGGTATTTCTGATTATGTCGGAAACTTCCGAAAAGTTCGGAATCGCGATCCAAATTTATGTGAAGTGTTTTGTTTTCTTCTCTTTTTCTTTCTTTCTTTTTTAGTGAACCGAGGATAGGCAGTACAAGTGTAAGTTGTATAAAGGTTTTTAATGGTATATAACTGCGCTCGCCCTATCGGTCTCACCGTAAAAGAAATTAAATTGTATTTGCTTACAAGGTAATTGTATCGGCCATAGAACTTTAAATGAGACTGCTGATATTCTTGTTACAGCAATTTGTCTGACAATAATTTACCTCGTTTTAGAAATAGTTCATACAACTTAGAGCGTGCTCTTGCGTATCGAGATAGAAACCCCGTATGCAGGTGATGAAGGTGTATTTATGCATAAATAAGGGAAGTTGACGACCAAAAAGTTAAAGTCATCAAGCTTGGTAGTTATAGATAACCGTCAATGTCTTCTTCATGTAAAACATCTAAATATGAAACAAATGTGTCAGACTCCATGGAATATTTTTTTCAAGCTCATTGGGATAGATTGTATCGACTTAAGAATGAAAATAACCATTGTTAATTGACAATACGTCGTCGATATATCTAAATTTCGATTTGAGGGTCACAGCAAGAAGGTTCTTCTTTTCACGTTTAAGATTTTGGACAAATTCTGCTTCACATGAATACAAAAACAAGTGTGTTAATAACGAGGCACAATTGGATTTTTGGAAGACCTGACTACATCATGTAACAAAATATATCTAAAGCTTTTCATAAATACAGTTGACTCCAACTTTACAATAACCATATTACGTCTCTTGTGTATATTTTACAAAGAAATAGCTAAAGAACATTCCTTTAGGAAGATATCACCTTGTCCAAAAATTATCAACTTTAATTTATTCAAGTTTCTTTCATTCTTTAATCAAATTACATATATAATATGCGCTATTTTGTGAACGACTATTGAAACATTCAGAAAGATTACCGTTTCCTGCAGATACTTTGTTCTTTAAAAAAGATATAATGATAAAAATCACTAAGACACTGATAGCTCACAGTCTACTTGTTATTTTCCTGGATTGTCGATGCAGTAGAACAAAGCATCTATACGAGTCGGGCAGTACAATCAAAGCGGCGATAAAACACAAGAAAGCTATTCCAACAGAGCCTACAAACACCATCTCTGGTCTGGTGTCGTAAACAGAAATTTTACTTCTTAAATAGCTGGAGGTAATGTTTCTTGGTAGGGTCAAATTCTGAATAATACTGATTATTTTTGCTTCCAAATCAGTAGTTGTTAGTGTAGAGTTCTTGGTTCCTAAACACACACATGGACAGGTATCTTTTGTTGTGATATACGCTGTTGAGGAAGTGGACGCCGTTGAATGAGGTGGGGGTAATGGTGGGGTTGCCGCTGACGTGGTGGTTGTAAGAAGAGGCGTTGAAAGCTTACGTGTAGTATGGACTTTCGTTGTAGTTTTTACTTTGAAATAAAAATGTACATTTTTTTTCAGATTTCTATAACAATGGATATTTTATTTTCAGGACAATCAAATCTCTAATTACCTTCACATCCAACGACTTCAAAGCGTAAACTGCAATATTTGTTGCAACTGGTAGGGTATAGTCGTAGAAAGCGTGCTTCAAACATTTTGTGGCAGCTTATTTGTAACCACTGTCGTTGGGTCAGTATTAGCATTATATGCCTTCAAAATGAAAACAATCGTTTCAATATAAAGTAACATATTGTAGTTTCCTTCGTTTTACAAAGTACTTCGTATTCATTTCACAGTTTTGGTTTATGTCTTATTCTTCAATTCCCAATTACACATGTAATAATTTTGAAAAATTCTAGAGTTTTTTTTTCAAATGTATACAAAAATGAACTGTCAAAAAATTAAATTGTACTGTAAATTTATTCAAAAATTGAAATAAAATGTCGACTACATGTTATGAAAAACACATAAAAATTACGTCATTTCCATGTCTGCTTTATGTTACTATAGACTTTCAATGTTTATTTCTCTATCAAAGGCAAACTTAAATCTAAATCAAAATGTGATCTCCAAAAGGCCTCCAGATCATTACTCCATAAAGAATTGTTGGAAATCTACTTCGAAGAGAACATTGGTGTACTTAGTTTGATGTCAGTCAACAGTTTTGTCAGTTACAGAAGCGGTCATTAATTTCCTTTGACCATTTCGACCTTAACGATTGATTTATAAATCTGTATTGTGCAAGCAAACTCAATGAATTGTGCCCCCCTTTCAGTGTATCAGTGTTTGGGATGCAATTATTTATTGCTAATTTCAAGTTAAATATACCCAATGGGATTCGGTAACCAGTAAATCCTATTTTAGTCTTTTCCGTAGTAATGCACATGTCAAATATAAATGCCCTAATCTTCTCTCTTTTAAAACTTATCAGCAATATTAAAATATTTAAAAATTACCTCAAATATCTAGGTCATGGATGTAAAAATCATATATTTTAAAACTTTTATCTCTTCATAAAATTGTATATATTTTTTATAAACCTTGTAAGTATTTATCGCATCAGTGACATTTTTTGATAGCCATTCATCCTCTTCCTAACTGGAAATTTGCTTTTCAGCAATATTGCCATTTCAGTGTTATAGAAAAGACGTGGATTTTAACGTACGTTTGATATGGTTTTCCATGCTGATGTAGTGTCACTGTATCTGACTACATATTTCTTCACCCATTCCTCAAATGGCACATGACCCAAACCTTTTGTCTTTATCGCTTTTATCGCCACTTTTCTTCCAAAATCCACCTGGGTAACAGACATGAATTAGACCATCTTTAAGATAATGTTTGCTTGCCCGCTCCCGACACAGGGTAAATTTTTTGGGACGGTAAAAAGATGGGAAAATCTTTTTTTTCAAGAAAATGTCGACATATTTGTTGACTGACAGTCGGTCGGGAGAGGGCAACCAAACATTTTTTTAAAGATACCCTTATGAAAAAAATATCTAGTTCAAACTCTATTCTGTATTTCCTTAGTTATCTGTCCCTTTCAAAGGTTCAAATAATTCAAACGGTTCAATCTGTATTTGTATAATTATCCAATTAAACATTTCATACATATAAAATAAAATTTAAGACAAACTTCAGCAAATTTTGTCTTGTTAAAATACCATCCACTTGATATAACTCATTGCACTCATTTTTCATTATACAATTTCGATTTTTTTTCTTCATTATATACGAGGGCTGTTCAATAAATAATGTCCTGAACTGTATGATATACAATACAGATATCATATGACATTCAGCTTGTCTTTTTCTCATTATTGAATCTTTAATGAATTTATAACAATTTATGTGACCACTTTTCATCTCATAGTTTCATTGGGAGAAGCTGGAAAACAAGGGCTATTCGAGACACTGCATGTAAAACGAATGGTAAAGAATCAGTAAACTAGAGTGAAATTAAACACTTCATTCAGGCTACTGTAAAACTGTAAAGAAACCCAAAGAAATATTCACTGAAATATGTAACATTTACGGCAACCAATGTCTATTTTATATACAAATTTGCAGGCGGATTTAAATGATAAAAAAATTATATAATGGGCATCAAAAATGGGTACCGTTCTTGCCAACAAAAAAATTAAAGGAAAAATGTATTGTTTGCCGAATTTCAACGAATAATATTTGATGATGTAAGATTGACTTTAACAGACATAACAAATTTAATAGAATCCATTTCGGGAGTAGTTCACACTGTTTTAAAGAAACGTTTGACAGTAAAAAAACCTTAGTACTCAAAGGTCATCCTATGTTTTGAAAAATGAGTGAAAACGACAGCGTGTAAGAATATTTAAACAATTATTTTAAAAAATCAAAGATTGTTGTTATCCAAGTTTGTTTGAAATTCAAACAGATAAAGAAACTTGAATCTATTGCTTCAAACCCTCGAAACAAAATTTACAACAAGATATACTTGACAAAAACAGCAAAGGTCTGAAAAGAACAAAGAATTGCATGAGCAAAAAGCCAGATTTATATGGAATTTTCTTAAATATTAGTGTCCTTGTTGTTCAAATTCGTATTCGGGGAAGCACTTTAATTTCTGGAAGAGTCTAGAAAGCAATTTTTTTTAAAAAGATCGAAAGGTTAATGAGATGAAGGAACCAGAATCAGGAATCCACTGCATTAATTTCTTCATGACAACGTCCAAACCCGCACGCCCTGAAGAGTCAAGGAGTTTTGGGGATAAACATAATTATTATATACAGTGGACCTTCAGATATCCGGACGCCAGATATCCGGATGCTTCAGTATCCGGACGCTTTTTCATCAGAACAGAATTTTAAAATGCTTTTATGTTTTGTTTAACTGATGATTCAGGTATCTGGATGCTTCACATATCCAGACAAATTGACTAGGAACCAAAGCGTCCGGATAAATGAGGCTCCACTGTAGTCTATTTATATTCCCTATATAATCTATACAAGCGCAAACAGTTCATAACACTACATATTCACCGGATTTTAGGCCGTATTCACCGGAGGGTCAATGCGCGTGCAACGGCATTGTGACGTCACAATCAAACCATCGAACAACGTTGTAAACAGTTGTTGCAACGGCCGCAGCAAGCTACGTATCTGAGCAGGAAAACAATTATTCAAACCTATTTCAGGATTATGTTTTAACATCTGGACGTCTTAGACGTCTTAGAAAGGAAAACACGGAGGTTACAAACAGTAATCTGGATTTTTTTTATTTTCAACAATGAAAGATCGCAAATGAAAATGGTGTCGTCATACAGCCTTCTATGTCTTATCTATTCAAATCCCGACTATATAATAAAACAATTATGGACTCTTTTTGTGTTGAATATGGTTTGTTATTCACCAGAAAAATATCCATATTGACCTCGGCTTCGCCGCGGTCAATATGAATATTTTTGTGGTGAATAACAAACCATATTCAACACAAAAAGAGTCCATAATTGTATATCATTTTTTTTCACATTAACAATATTCACCAGATCTTTCGCCTTTTGACTTGTTTCATTTTCCAAACTTAAAAAAAAAACAGCTTTCAGGAGGAAGAAACGAGTCCAGGAAATCATAAGATCTGCCATTTTTCAGTATACAAAGGGTCATACCCAAAAATGTGTTTTAAAAAGAGTCAGGAATTGGAAAAAATGTTACAGACATGTGTTTTAATTAAAAGAGAATATTAAGTTAAATCATTAAGACTAAATCATTGAAAAGCGCCTTTTGCTTTTTTCCGAGCACCGAGAACATTATTTATTGAACAGCCCTCGTAATTTTATTTAAAATTCCATAAATTTTCATTTTGTAATGTATATTTTCCATTTGTATTCTATAGTTTATATTTATATCCTGTGATTTTACTTGTATTCTATAATTTTCCGTTTGTTAGTTCGTGTTGTTTTTTTAAACATAAATTTCTAGTTGTTGTTTACAGTTATCAATACAAATGGAAAATTCAATAATAATGACAAAAACATTAAATTACAAAAGGTATATCATAAATTAACCCCCCCTCCCCCCCCCCCCCCAAAAAAAAAAAAAAATATATATATATATATATATATATATATATATATATATATATATATATATATATATATATATATATATATATATATATATATATATATATATATATATATATATTTTTTTTTTTTTCAAAACGTAGAAAAACAAATGGAAAATTATGAAATACAAATAAAATTTTTGATAATGAATTTGTAAAATACCTGTCTCTAATAAAAAGAGATGGTTTATGGTGTACCAATGTATATACTCCTCATGTTCCAGAAAAAATCTACCTGTATCCATGGATTTGATTCCTTTTCGTTTGGACTCCAACCAAACGTGTGGGAGAGCCTGGCGTACTGGGGCAGGTAATCCTTGTCAAAGATACTGGAAACCGTCAGTTTGTCGTCCGTCACCGTCTCTACTAAATGATTGTTGCATGCATAGGCTATATTAAAAATAGTACGACAGTTGGTTATAATTAACTCAAAGTTCAATAAAATACCTAGAAGAAAAAAAGTTCAATCATTTCATATTTCTGTGATTTTTAATTTCAAGATTTGTATTACGTGACACGATTTTAACTACAACAGCAGGAACAAAATTATCAAAATTTAATTGAAACAAAGTAAAATATGTGTATTAAATATCTTGAGCGACTAAGCGAGTGACTATTGAGCAAAATTTAATAAAAAGTAAATTGGTTGAGGAAAAAAAAGTCAAGAGGTTTTGAAAATCATCTCTTCTTGTAAACTTTATTCAGGGATTCATAAAATTTCAGAAATAGTATGATGAGCAAGGGTAACTTTTCCGAATTATGGAATTCAAAACTTAAGGGTCAGGAGGTCTAGCTGGTGGGTAGGGCTCTCTAGATAATGTAGGAAATTTGGCTTTTTCTACACTTCAGTAGTCGTTCTGTAACTTTTATGCTTATATGTTAAATTATTATACCTCTATTGATAATACTCGAATTTGATTGGCTGGTAAGAAAACTTTAAAATACAACAATGACTCCAAATGGTACTGTTTACAACAATAATGACCTAGGAATTATTGCACGTGGGATATACAGACCCGGTCATTATTATTAATGACCGCTAAATAATGACCTCTTAATCAAAAATTCCCTTTTGACTGAATTAAATGCATAAAATAATAATTATTCGAGAAAACAACATGTTTTTAAAATTGTGCAAGGTCTCTTTTGCATAACCATACAGAAAACGGCAAAATTTTATCGTTAACTTAAACGGTTTACTCATTTCAAAATATCGTTTCAATTCAGTTCTGGAATGTAGATGCGGCTCTGTAAAGAGTTGAACTCTGTGTTAGATTTTGACTGGGTATAGGAAAAGTAATCGTTGGTTATAATGTATGTCGCTATCCACCAAATATAATTTTAATCAGTAAATCATGATGCAAAAATTTACACGACTTGCAGACGTCAATGTAAACAACTTCACTATACGGAGAGTAGCGAATCCCGATCCCGATCAAAGAAAGAATTGGTAACGGTCAGAGATTCATACTTTTCAATATACATCGGTATAATACAACAATTCATTACCCCTTTTGAGTTCAACATGGTGAAGTAAGGACCGAAACCTGGCCCACGAGGTGACCTGACCTGACCGAGGCCGCGTACCGGCCGAGGTCAGGGCAGGTCATCGAGTGGGCCAGGTCTCTGATCCTTATTTCACCATGTTGAACTCAAAAGGGGTAATTAATTGTATAATAATGATGATAACGAACAGCTAATGATCGATCTAAAATATTTTATAAACGATATAAATTTGTGAAGAGGGCATAAAACAGGGCTCCCTGAAAATTCCAGAGGTGGGGATCAGGTGCCTAGGAGAAGAACACAGCCCCTGTTGACGGGGCGCACTTCCTGTACTCAAATTCTGTATAAAATAAAAGACTTATGATTAGCATGAAACAGCTCAGTCAAAATACGGCCCAATGATAGATTATACACTGTACTTGCTAACGTCAAATTATAGATAAATTAAAGTTAAACTGATTGATTGTATGTTGTTTAACGTCCCTCTTGAGAACTTTTCACTCATATGGAGACGCTACAACTTAATGATAAAGCAGTTTAATTTAATAAAAGTTTTATAAATGAAATATACCACGATTGTCATTTTTTATTTTTTTAATACCTTCGATATCCGAGTCCTTATTTAAACACAATCTTTAAAATTTATATTTCTTAACAATTTTTAAAAAATAAAAATAACTCTTGCGTACGAGAATTGAAAATAGAATTGTATGCCTAGCAGAATACGAGTTCAGTCAAATACACGTAACTTGAGAGTTCATGGTATTAAATGATAAAAAAAGAATAATAAGTATGATTTTTAGATATTGAACATACTCTATTGCACTATCATTTATGCAAACAGATTTATAGAATTTAAATGTGGACTTCATGTAATTATCTTACTTTTCTTTGGTACAATTAATCCTAGAAACACCCAGAAAACAGAACATAATGACGTGTTAAAATTCCAGATATTCATAATAAAGCCGTTTGTCATATCAATTTAATTCCATGACAATAAAGATAGTAAAATTATACACATTCTTTTAAATATAATAAAGAAATGAGTAAAAGTAAGTGATACCCAAACTTTGAATACAAGATAAAATATAAACAGAGTCGACGTATGGAAGGTTTCATCAGATATAGGTAAATAAATCACTTTGAATACAAATGGGATTTTGTTTGTTAGTGAGGAGATGATTTGTTTGGTGTATAAATTCAGTAAAATAATTTTAATGGAAGAATTTTAATTAAAATTTATAATTACTTAAGCTTAGTCAAATCAATGTTAAGGCGTTTGTAGAAACATAAAATGATCATTGAAGATGTTGAGTTGAATCAATATCCGTCTGTCTGTCTGTCACTCCTTCCCCTTTCTCTTTCCCTCTATGCCAGCGATGGTAGCTGAACTAGTGAAGAGGACAAAATAATTTTTGTTAGTAAGCAAGAGAATTTTGTTTCAATATATGCCTTCGGCATCGACTCAAACCCATGTGATATATGTATAATGTTAGCATGCAAGATAATAAATTGCACATCAACATACACATATGTCGCATCTTCTCATAATTAATTCGCATGTTAACATACCGGTACTTATTTGGTATGTTAACAAGACACATGTCAACACATATGCCTGTTGAATCTTCCTTGAATTAGATGTTAAAATAATTGCGTAACAAATTAGATTTTCTAAAGGGATTGGTAACTTGCATGTCAGTATAATTACTTTGCATGTAGGCATAATTATCTTAAACTTTCAAAAAAATGACACTAAAATGTAAGTTTAAACGTTTTCCTACTTTTCACATAATTATGTATTTTAACCAAACAAAACATATAATCATTTGTTCATAAACAGATATCATTTTTGGTACACCTATAAAAGCAAAGATTGGTTTGAAATGTTATATAGAAATAAAAACAACACGAAATACACTTGTCAAGTTCTTTCTTTTGTGGGTTTCCTTTAGATCAAATTTTATTACGATGTGTAACATACAAATAATGAAATAATTTAAGCAGGTCTGGTAATACAATTAAATTAGCCACAATGAACAAAATAGCTATCCCTACAGATCCCACATACAATGCTTGTGGTCTGTTATCTTGCGCAGAAATTTTACTTCTTCTGTAGATAGATGTTGTTTTCTTAGAAATTGTTAAATTCTGCACGATAACAGCTAATCTGGCGAGGAGTTCTGATTCCGTTAATGTGGTGTTATGTTTTTTGACACATGTACATGGACAAGGAGACACGATTGTATTTGAAGCTGTCGTTGTAGACATTAAATTTTGTGTCGATGTCATTGTAGACATTTGTTCCGATGTCGTTGTAGGAACTTGTGTCCAGGTGGTTGACCTCGTATCGGTCGATGTAGTTGTGGATATTTCAGTTGCTGTCTTCACGCCTGCTGTTGTTCTCATTGTGGTTGTTGACATCACCGCTGTGGACAATGACGTCACTGAATTCAAAGACATGACTTCTTGTGATAAGAATAATTGATCAGATAATACCGTTATTATAATAACTGAAAATCCATCAAAAACAAAAAACAAAAAACCCTCTCCATTCTATCTCAATTTAGTAAGCAATTGTGATAATTTGAGTTAATAATTTATAATCACCTTCACAGCCAAGGACATCAAAGCGAAGACTGCAGTAATCATGACAGTCCGTGGGATAGAGTCGTAGATAGCGAGCATTTACTTCAAATGGAAGGTCATTCCTCACTAAACTTGTAGAGTCACTATTTGCGTGGAATTCCTAAAAACAATGTCTATCAATTCATTATTTTTATTAGATAATAATGAATGGAAATCCCCATTCATAATAGGAAAATTACCTCTCTCTCTCTCTCAGAGTTATTAAATAAATATTTGAAATAACAAAAATGACTTAAAATCGTCTAGGAACTTTATGAAATCTTTGTATGATAACAGGGATATTTTTGACAACTTAACGATCTCTATGATAAACGTGATGACTTTAACTTTTCTATTGTCATCTTCCCATACTTTTGCAGCACCTTCATCAACTGCATACGGAGTTTGTATAGCTCAATTGATTCGATGCGCAAGTGTATGCTGTACGTTTGAACAATTTCTAAAACAAGGTATATTATTGACAATCAAATTGATTAAACAAGAATATCAGCAGTCTCGTTTAAAGTCATCATTTGGTAAGTTCTACGGTCGATACAATGACCTTGTCAGCAAATACAATTTATCATTGAGTCATACGCTGGCTGACGTTTTCATACTTATCGTTACTCTATTATTTTTGCACTGAATTGACGATGGATTTTTCCGTTATTTCTCGGTCATGACAAGGTCCACAGGAGCACACGGCGGTGGGGACCGGTCGGCAGGGGATGCACACTACTCCATGGCACCTGCTCCCACCTATGATATTTTGGATGCCCGTGCTTGTTCTGCTCCAATTTTGTATTGTTTAATGGACATTTGAGCTTGAATACTGTTCGTAATCTCCATAGATTTCATTTCAAGAACACCCAATACATATTGATAGTGATATTGATATGGAAACATCCTCCGGTAGTTGAAATTAGACGTTGAAAAAGCATGTTCCATATGGGTAGAAAAGGGACAGGTTAAATGATTAAAACTTAGCATTAAAATAAATGGGAAAAATTCATCTTATGAAGAACAGGTTGCAATAGTGAATGAAGAGTAGGTTGATTATTGGGCATCTTCTAACTTATGAGAACGTAGTTTTAAAGTAAGATTGCTATACATTTTAAGAGTAGCTTTAAAAGACCTTGAACACTTGTTTTTGAATGGAAAAAGCAAACGTTTTGTAATGTTTACTGGTATATCATGACAGTATGACATTAAAATTTTAACTTTTATTTTTACAGATCACTAATTAGTTTTCAAAGGTGAAATATTGGATTCAATCAAGTATCATAAAAAAAATCAATACATACCTTTGTTTAAACAGCTGTTACGAGTTAAAGGAAATTGAAAAAAATTAATTATTTTATTCAAATAGCTTGTCAAGAAGTGATCCGTTGTTTTAGTTTATTGTAAATACGTATAAGTTTGAATTTTATTGTAATGCCACATTGATTCAACGAAATTCGGTGGGTAGGCGTTAGAAGTATTCGGTTAAGACTCTGTATGGGTTTTTAAAAAATGCAAATCTGATACACTGCGTCAGATTGTCCCTTTGTTTTATTAAACATATGGAGATAACGAACAGTATTCAAGATCAAAAGTCCAATAACAATACTGAGCAAAGAATTAGTATTAAAATTATTATTATGGAATTAGTATTAAAATTATTATTAAAAGCGTCAGTCTGCATTTGACTCAATGATGAATGTATTAAGTGACAAGGACATTGTATCGACCATAGAACTTAGGAAATGATGACTTTAAACTACTGTACTTGCATTCTTGTTTGATCAACTTGTTTGTCAGGACTTAAACTCCTTTAAGATACTATTCATACGTAGAGCATGATCTTGTGTATCGAATCAACTGAGGGATGCAAACTCCGTATGCAGATGATGAAGGTATATTGCTGCATAAGTAAGGGAAGTTGACGATTGAAAAGTTAAAGTCATCAAGTTATCATAGAGCTTGGTTGTCAAATTACCATTCACGTATTTTTTAAGTAAATTTTTAAAGTTAATATCCAAATATGAAACATGTGTGTCAGATTCTGTGGTATGTTTTATTTCAAGCTCATCGGGATATATCATATCGACTTTTCCTCAAATTCAATTTTTCTGAAACTTTGATATTTTGTTCTTGGATGCAAAATCTCTCTTTATATATGATATGAAAGAAATTCAACCGCACAATTTTTGCCCACATAGTCTGAAATATGGCCTATCAGACCCCTGTAAGAAGATTGTGAAATCAGACATTCGACTTGAGAATGAGCCTTATTTTAGAATTTTCTATTGATCTATTGCAAATTTGTGTAATACTTTTAATAAAGATAACCTTTTTGTTACTTTAAATCAGTAAGTCGCATTGATACTGAAAAATTTGGGTAAAATGTTAAATAAAATAGAACATACACTGTGTCAGAAACTGAAAATTTACATGTAAATATCCGACAGTTTAAGTTTTCTTAAGAGAAAATGTATAATTCAATTTTTACAAAAAATCAACAGAATGATTCAAATGGGTCCTAGAATAAAATGTGTAAAAATAAAGAAAATTGAACCGGTGGTTTAAGATAATTTGGTAATTAAAAAAAATTCAATGGCAAAAAAACTAAAAGATTCAGAAGATGACGTCACAATATTTGACCTTTGACCTCTTGATATGACCTTGACCTTTGTAGTACATAAAGAATGAAGACTCCTTATATATGTGTCCAAATATCACCCCTCTACTATTTATGGAACAAAAGTTGCACTGCATTTTATAACAGACTGTTACATACTTGTTTATTGCACTTAGGTAGCATAAACACATTCCAAAATGTAAGCTCCAAAGTGACCAATATATAGGATTCTCTGATTTTTCCACAAAATATAACGCAAATATGCCAAAACTTATTATTTTTCTTTCAGGGATCATTCATTGTTGCCGATAGAGTAATATTATTCTTTTTTCCTCCAGTACTTTTTAAGAAATGGATTAAGATAGAATCCACGGGTGTTTTGTCCTACCTTAATTGAACATTTTTGATAAGCAAGTGTGCCTTTTCAAAAATTGTGCAATGTGTAGACCTAGGGTCAGGGGTTCATGTGTGGTAAGGGAACTCCTGATTATTGCTGAATATTACTGATTAGTTGACATTCATTTTTGTTCCCCTACCCTGCTTATGGGTATTAAGTAAACAAACTAAGCAATTGCTAAGTATATAGTTATGATAATCAATGGTGCCTCTTTCAAAATTGTGAATGCCATAGCATCTGGCTTAAAACATGAACCAAATTCAATCATTTGAAAGTTGTTGCATTATGCTCAGGTGACCTATAAGGCCCATGGGCCTCTTGTTTTTATGCCCGCTCAGTAAAACATTAGAAATGTTCGACCTTTTTTCGTATATATTTTCATATGAACAAGGGTAAAACATAGCTATAATTAAAACAGACCTAGCCTGGTCTTTTTCAAAAGACATATTTTTCTTACACATGTATTTGTTTAAAGAATAGTTTTTAAATCATCTGTCACACAAGTTTTAGCAACAAATCTCAAAAAGATGCTCTTATATTTTCCATTTTTTAAAAATTAATTTAAGAGCATAATTGTATGAATATGACTTTAAATTTATTTTATATCTTTATATATGTTTTAAATGGTAAATTATTTAAAAGATTTATGAGATAATAAATATGTAGCATGTAAAATACAGAATACAAAAAATTCTGAATGCGGAAAATTTTTTGTTTCACAACTTATGGTAAGTCACTCGTCAGCTTTTTAGAAAAGTTCACGCAGAAGCTTTTACTTCAAAACTACTTATCAAAATTCAATTTTTATAACATATTTAAATTCAACAATGTAAATTTTTTAACATTCAGTGAAAAAACTGCTCAAAATTCTACAAAGAAGCAAGATTTATGACGGACTATTTCTTTTGGTGGAAGGATATTTAGCAGATAATTCTGCAAATCTGCACATTTATAAAATTTAATGTAATGGAAATTTAGCCTCACATAATTTTACTCGGAGAATATTTTCCGCTTTGATATTGCTAAAAATATTTAATATAGGTCTTAATTTATATTTTTAGACCAAGTTTTACACCTTCCCTCAACAAACTTTTCCAAAAAATGAAAATATATTAAAGAAGTCAAGACCAAATCTACACCATTTTTTGCCTGGAAATCACATATTTTATCTAATATTACAAAATTAACATCACTGACACCATTTTTTTCTTTCATTATTTTAAACTACTCGATACTTGTGACTGATCAGCACTTAAGTCGTAAAAAGTTTGATATAAGAAAATTTTTTATTGCCTATTAAGTTTTTTAATACCCCAAATATGTTATTTTTTAGTGCAAAAAGGTCACACAATAATTTACGCGCAATAATTTGCAAGATTTGTTTAATGGTAAATATTATTCAAACTATTTTACGTAAAATAAGATTATATTTATTGCCATGCTTACATCTGATCAAATATAATAAGGGTTAAAGTAATTAACCAAAGAGATGAAATTTAAGTGCAAAAAGGGCAACTTAAATGTACCGTAGATCAGTAGGATGCACACTGACCCCCTATTTTCTTTGCGATTTTGAGTTACACTGAATACTTATCCAAAATATACTTCTCAAAAAATCCTTGATTTAACAAATTTCAGGAGTGACTTACCTTAAAATAGAAAATAACCTGGAGTTTCAAAATTCACACTTCGGCAAGTTTTAGATTAAGAAGACAGAATTTTGCACTTTATTTTTGAAAATTTTAATTAACTGGTATTTGAAGTATTAAGTCGCATGAGTAATGCATCTGACCCATGAATCTTGTCTTAGTCTCTAAGTATATAGTAAAATGTTGTAGGAGATGCAATACAATTTTGACTTTATTCCTAAATATGTTTGTTCTGCATATCAAGGTGAATAGAAATAGTTTGATCTATAACCCAAGATTATTAGTTACACAGTCAGTTAGTGACATAATGGAAATCCGTATTGGGCGAGGCGAAGCCGAGTCCCAATACGGATTTCCATTTCACACCCTGTATGAATCCGTATTAGGTCACTAACTGACTGTATTACGAATTTATCCCGCTGAAAACCTTTTTCAATATTAAAAAAAAAATGTTT